GGCTGGGGTTTTTGGGGGGGTCCCGTGGCGAGATGTACCAGAGTTTAGCCATGGCAGCTAACCCCGGCCCTCCGGCCTACGAGGGGGCAGGTGGCTTCATGCACAGCGCGGCCGCAGCGTCCCCCGTCTACGTGCCCACCACGAGGGTCACCTCCATGCTCCCCAGCCTGCCCTACCTCCAGAGCGGCGCCTCATCCCAACAAGGCAGCCCCGTCTCCAGCCACTCCATCTGGACTCAACCCGGAGCCGAAAGCGCCGCTTACAACCCCGGATCTTCTCACCCTCCTCCCGTGTCACCTCGGTTCTCCTTCTCCACCAGCACCCCCATCCCTGCCACCTCTTCCCGGGAAGCGGCGGCGGCGGCGGCCTACACCGGCTCCTTGAACCTTTCTGCTAACGGGAGGGAGCAGTACACCAGGGGCTTCGGCGGCTCCTACTCCAGCCCTTACCCGGCTTACATGAGCCCAGAAATGGCCACCACTTGGACTTCTTCACCCTTCGACAGCCCCATGCTCCACAACCTGCAGAGCCGAGGGACGCCCGCGGCCGCCCGGCACGCCAACATAGGTGAGCGCCTGGGGTAAGGAAAGGGAGGGTTTCACCCCAATTTTTTTTGGGGGGTGGACACACACACACCCCTCCTTGGGTTGGGTGAGGAAGGGGCGATGGGCAAGAGGGAGAAATTCAGGATATACACCAGAGCCACCTCTCTGGTTGCAAGACATGGGGTGCTGTGGTTGCGTCCCCCCCTTGCATGGGTACAAAGTCACCGTTTCTAAAGGTCCCCAAGGCCCACAAGTTCAAAAAAACCCCCCAAAAACCCTAAATTAAATTATAATTTAGGCCCGGAAGGGGCAAGAAACGATGCGCCGAGCTCCAGGGCCTGCTGCCTCCGCAAGAATTTGGGGGCTGTGAGGGGGACACCCGCCGTTGTGTAGGACCATGATGCTCCATGGGGGTGCAGGCACCCCCTCCCTGGGCTTGTTTTAGGTGTAAAAGGGGGGAGAAATTTGTTTGGAAAAACAGGAAATCAAAATACGGCCCGTGAATTCCAGATCTTCCCTTTGGGCGGTTTTACGTTATGTCTTTTTTTTTTTAATTCTTGAAAAAGCTGGAGAAAAGGAAAGCAAAAAGGAAATTTGGTGCCGAGGGGGTAGAGGTGATGGCAAAGAAGAAAAACAAATGCATCCACCTTTATTATCACAAATTTTGGAGGGGGGGTTACAGGCACATCGCATCGGCCCAGCCCTGTATTCCCGTGTCTCCTTTCCCCCCCAAAAAATCTCAGCCCTGGTTTCTTGTGCCCATCCCCATCTCAGGGCCTTTCGTTCATGTTTCATCCCTGGCTCCTATGGCCAGAAATGGCTTAAAATGCCCCTTTTTTTACTTTATACATCAGAAAAGAGAGAGAGAAAGGAGGGGAGAAACCTCTCTGCATCGCGATTTCATAAACCCTTTTTTTCTTCCCCGCCTTCTCTCCGTGAAGGTATTTCCGTCGGGGTCGGGGTTAACAAAGAAAACAGCTCAAATTTGTCTGCAGATGCATTTTAAGATCGCGTTCTTTAACCCCAAATTTTGGAGGGTAATTTTTCCACCGTGTCTGGCAGGACTTGCTTTGTCTTCGGCGGTATTTTAAGACGTTAAAGAAAGGCAAGTTGGGTGCTGGTGAAGGCTTGGCCTTGCCAACGCCTCTTGCTTTGTGAAATTGCTTAAGACAGGGAAAGGATTATTTAAGATAAAAGTTTTGGCCAGCCAGGAGATGTTTTTGGGAAGCCAGGAGAAGGTAGGAAGTGTAGGAAAAAAGCAGGATGAAGCAAATAATTAAAAAATAATTGAATATTATCGACAAGGACATATGCGCATTTGTATTTGAATATTGTGCCGTCCCTTCCTTGGGGAAAAAAAAAACACAACACCTTTTTTCAGGGATCTCAGAAGGGCTCTTAAGTCTTAAAAATAACTTAAAACCAAAATAACGCAGATGAAGAATTGTAGTTGCAAAAATACCCGGCAGCTTTTAAGGTGCCAGAGACTGAGGGCGGTGATTTTGGCGTTTCAAGCCCTGCGTTAAGCAGCGGTTTGCAGGTCGCAGCCTGTATTTTGGGGGCAAAAAATATGCTTTTTATCCAGGCTCTTAAATAGCAGCAGGAAGCCGGGATGAGTTGAACCGGTCCAGAAATTGTTAGAGGTGGGTAAGGAAGGAGGAAGGAGCTGGATTCCTGGTGTGGCATCGCGGCAGAAACCGGGGGAATTCATTAGCGTGGGTCTGATTGCACCTCTGCCTCCAATGGGGAAATAGAATGTGGGTTTAAATAAAAAAAGCTCGGTTTTGGTTTAAAAAAAAATTAAAACGAAACTTCCTGAAAGCTGAAAAGTTTTAAATTGGGGATTAAAATGGATTTTTGGGAAGGCAGCTCCCCCGGCAAGGAGTTTAAGGTCCAGACCTGCCCCTTCCCCTCTTCTCCCCGAGTCGGGATGCTCCCGGCCGAGTCCCTCCCCGATGCTGGAGGGATGCTTTGCCCGGGCTGCGGGTCTCCAGGGGCTTGTATGAAGCACTTAAAGGGTGCCCGGTGATTTCTGAGCAAGGAGAAGAGTGGGTTTTTTTTCGTTTGGTTTCTTTTTTTGCTGACCAAGGGTGAAAATCCCTGACGGGCCGAAAAACTGAAGGCACTGAAAGATTTAGTGGGAGGGAAGCAGCCTTGTGGATTGCACCCGTCACAGACCCACTTTATTAACACATCGGAGCCTGGCTCAGTCCCTGGGACTCAGTCCCAGGCTCCTTCCTTTGCCTTCTTTTAGGACTAAACATAATTTTATTCTCCACACAACGAGGAATCTCAAGGTGGAAACACAATCCTTACGCGAGGCTTTATTAAATCCAGTGATTTTTTTTTGCAGGGCTCTCATGTCCCTCCAGTGATTTTTGCTTCCCAGAGAACTGTCACCTTCGGGTAGCACTAATTGCAGAGCACCCCTGGGATCATTAGAATATTAATTATTATCATTTTTGGATAATGAAAATCGAGTCTATGCAGGTGTAGCTGGAGAGGCAGACACAGATACGCAGTCTGTGCGATGGGATATTTTTTCCCCACTGTAAAGCAGTGCCCTAGAGAAAGTTTAATGAAACTCTACACAAAGGTACCAGAAAATGCAAAAAGAAAAGATCCTTATTTCTTTTAGTAGAAATAAAGACCTCACTCCTTTTTTTAAAAAAAATTAATTTTGTAATAAGAGGAATTTTGGTCTGAGTTAAAACCTGCCGATGCAGCTCTGAGGCTTAAAGCCCTGGGAAGGACGGCTGAGGAAATCACATGGGACTATTTGAAAAACTTCAAAGTTCAAAAGTGGCCAAATTTGGGCTTTTCAGGGTAAGTTTGGCAAATGATTTCATTACCCTGAAGGTAAAGGATCAGGTCCTACACCCCAGTGTGAGTTCAAAAGTGGCCAAATTTGGGCTTTTCAGGGTAAGTTTGGCAAATGATTTCATTACCCTGAAGGTAAAGGATCAGGTCCTGCGGCTGAGGCAGTGAACTTGCTCCAGGCATCGCCTGGGATGGGGTTACAGTGAATTCCCGACTTAATGAGGCATGAAAAGGACCGGCTGCAAAGTCCCCTTTCAGGAGGCTTCCCTGCCAGAGCTAAAAAAACTCGGGAAATCTGTCTCCAAATTAGCAGGGACGGGCAGTTTGCCCCTTTCCCCTTCCCCGAGCGGAGGAGAGCGGGGATCGAGGGCGACACGGGAGCCGGAGGGAATCCAGGGGATGTCTCCAGGCTGGGGATGAAGGGCCAGATCCTGCCTTGCGGTCCCCACCCCCTAAAATTTGGCTTTTCACATATAAAAAAAAAACAGGGTGGGGGGTGGTGTTTCTTTTGCCATGGCAGAGAGGAGGCTGGTGGGGTTGGGGCATTTCTGATGGACGGCTCTGCATTTCGTTTTGACTAAATCGAAGGCAGGGTTCCCCGGACAGGCACCTTTTTAACAGAGGAGCAGCAGCAAAAGCAGCATCTGGGAAGATCAAAGCCCCCAGCAGACGTTGCTGGGTTGGAAAATGTCTTCTCCACCGTTGGTGGTGGGGGAGAGATTGTGAATCAGATCTTAAGCTTTCCCATAGGGATGCTAAGAGATTTGCCCTGTAGCATCCCCGGGGGCCGGCATTCCCAGTGACTCATCGGCATTTGTTACAAGGCTGTGCCCTACAAGCAGCCCCTGACCATCCCTAAAGGACCTAAAGATGAGGTGGCTGCTCCCCATGGCCAGCAGGCGATGGGGGCAGCCCAGCATCTCTGCTGTCCCTGGCCTTGGAAAGATGGGACCATAGGATGGAGTGATGGGACCTTAGGATGGAGGGATGGGGCCATAGGATGGCGGGATGGGACCTTAGGATGGAGTGATGGGGCCATAGGATGGAGTGATGGGACCTTAGGATGGAGGGTTGGGGCTATAGGATGGAGGGATGGGGCTGTAGGATGGAGTAATGGGGACGCAGGGTGGAGGAATGGGGCCACAGGATGGAGGGATGGGACATTAGGATGGAGGGAAGGGGCCATAGGGCAGAGGGATGAGGTTGTAGGGTGAAGCGATGGGATCCAAGGACAGAGTCATGCAACTTCAGGATGGAGCTGTAGGATGGAGCGATGGGACCTTAGGATGGAGAGCTGGGGCTGTAGGATGGGGTGATGGGACATTGAGATGGAGGGACAGGGCTGAAGGATGGAATAATGGGGCCGTAGGGTGGAGGGATGGGGCTGTAGGACGGAGTGATGGGACCTTGGGATGGAGAGATGGGACCTGAGGATGGAATGATAGGGCCATAGGGTAGAGTCATGTGGCCGTAGGAGGGAAGGGACACTTAGGATGGAGAGATGGGACCTTAGGATGGAAGGATGGGAGTTTAGGATGGAAGGATGGGAGTTTAGGATGGAGGGATGGGACCGTAGGACGTGTCTGCATTTTGCACAAGACCTTACATCCCCCGTTGTGCAAGCAGCTGCATTTCTCACCTCAGCTCCACCGGTGGGGAAGGTTGGCCCAGGGCTTTGTTCCTCCCCCTACCCCCCCGCCGGTTTCAAGCCACCACCGTCTGCTCCCCTGCCTAATTTAATTGTCACCCGTCAGTCTGGGATTTGGGATGAAACCCACAGAATTAGGGAACGCAAGATCAAGCTCAAGCAGGCAACTGATTATGACCCCCACAAATCCCCAAACAGGGTATTTTACACTTTAAATAAAGCAGCGACAATAATAATTAAAACATCCCCCAAATGGGCACTGTATCACCCTTATTAATAATCCGGTTCCACCATTGAAAGCTGCCCTTTATTAATGAATACAAATGCATACGTGGCATATAATACATTATAAATGGTTGCAAATTTTTATCAAGCAGTAAAACTTACTGCAGGGGGAAGTGGACCTGAGTCTATGACATTATTAAGCCAGGATTAATTATTTTTCTCCTCCACACATGCACTCAAGTGCGTGTCTTTGTCCCCGTAGCAATAACAGCGATTTATATAATTTTTTTTAAGAGATAGCTTATATTTTGCTCTTTCTGCGTTTATTT